GGGGGGGGGAAATCATTCTTTATCATTTACCAGTCAAATTTGTAACTGAGACAAGATGATTTCCCTTAATGAAAAAAGGAGGATGAGCGGTTCATTGGTGAGGCGGTTTCTCTGTTTCCTCTTTATGGTGTTCATGGTTGAGAATGTTGACTCACAAGTGCATGTACTCACAAAGAAGGACATCACTTTTTGCACAAGTGGCTTCAAAGTGGGAAAGTCTTCTTCAGACACCAAACTCCAGAAGTGACCAACACCTGATCTGAGTTCCAATTTGAAATTGTATTTTGTCTGCAGTTCTACCAATTCACTTTCTACAGCAGCACGCTGAGTACAGAGCAGAGTGATAGTTGGAGTGAGAGATGACACACCCACATGGAAGGGGTTTTCAATAAAGTTGAAAATCTCCTTGTTCTCATTCACATCCTTGAATCTGGATTCAGATTCCCCCCTCAGCTCTTCTGAAACATTCACAAATTCTCTGTGGCTGAGGTGCTGGTGCAGAGATGGGTCATTTGTGGTGACAGCTCTGAGTTTGGGGAAGTGAATGAATTCTCTGTCGGGTATGTACAAGGCAGTTATTTTGTTCTGAAATGCTCTGATTGCATTCAGCATGTTGCTTGGAAGCTTATCTCTTCCTTGAAGCTTCAAGTTAAGAGTGTTCAGGTGACAGGTGATGTCAGTAAGAAAAGCCAGCTGTGTGATCCAGCATGGGTCTTCCAGCTCTGGCTCCCGTTTTGCTTTGTTGTCCAGGAAAGTGCAAATCTCAGGGAGGAAGCTCAGAAACCGTACTTTTCCACGGGACAACCATCTCACTTCACTGTGCATCAGTAAATCACCATACTCTGTGTCATAGTCCTCAATGAGTTGTCGGAGCTGTCTGTGGTTCAGCGCTCTGGAGATGATGAAGTTTACCACACCAACAAGTGTTTTCATCACATTTTGGAATGTATTATTTCTCTGTTTTGATATCAGTGACTCCTGATGGATGATTTGGTATTTCTTCCCTTTTTTTCATGAGCCCAACAAGCCCCTTCTCCTTTCCTCGCATGCTAGGGGCGCCATCCGTGCACACGCTTGCTAGACCTGACCAACTGAGATTTTTTTCATCAAAAAATGTCAGAAGTGCATTCAGAATGTCCTCCCCTATCGTTTGGCCAACAAGTGGAAGTAAGCACAGCATTTCTTCTTGGAAAGACTTTTCTTTAGGGAACCTTACCTAAACACACAACTGAGCAACATCTGTCAAATCGGTGCTTTCATCCACCGCGATGCTGAAACACGGTGCAGCTGACACATCTGCACAGAGCTGGTCACTCACATCTTTGCCGATGTTTTCAGTCCGCCTCACTATGGTGGAATCGGATAATTGTAATCCTTTAATTTGCTTTACAATTATCCTTGTTATCAAACTCAGCAAACAATATTTCTGCTGAAGCCAAAAAGCAATCTTTCACAATTTCTGAGTCTGAGAAGGTTTTTTTTTCTGCGAGCCAAAATCCAAGCGATCTCAAAAGATGCCTCAGTTAAACGTTCAGCTGTAGAAGTTGTCCTGTGTATGAGCCTTTGTTGTCCAGAAAGAGAGGGAGAAAGCTGCTCTATTTTCCTTTTCCTTATTTCACTTCCAGGTGGATAACTTTCATTGAATTTTGGGTGCGTCTTTTGGAAATGCCGCTCCAAATTACTTCGCATGAAACCAGAGCGGGTTTGTTTGCATAGTAAACACAAAGGGTTTGAGCACAAAAAAAAATTCCTCTGTCCACTTTTCTTGAAATTTTCTATGCTCATCTTGTAGGGCTCGTACCTTTCTCTTTTTAGCAGGAGTTGACTCTCCACAAACCCTGTCTCCATCATCCTCCTGTCGATTTGCGGTTGTTGCATGCTCCAAATCCGTAGTTCCCTCGTTTGACACTGTCACATTTCTTTGTTGCTGTCCACTTGGTGCGTGACTTTGTTTAATAAGAAACCGAACCATTTTCAGTCCGTATATAACACAAGCTGACTAGCATGAAATGCTAAAAAAAAACGTAGCTAAGCTAGCGTTGTTATAATGTGCGTTAGTAGGCCTATGAATTGCCAGGTTAGTGTCCTCTAATTTAATTGCTCCAATTTAGTGCTAACATTTAAAAAAAAAAAATTGTACATGCCCAAGTATATTCCATATTCACACACATGTGATATAGAGGGTATGCATAATATATTTTTGGTAAAAATGTTTTTTAATGATCTTACATTTTTTATATATCTGGAAAGACCGCCAAAACTGGCAACTTTGCAGTGAGTCAGTGTCACGGACGTATAAGAGCAGAGCAAGTTTAAATATCTGTTCTAGTTTATATTTCCATCTTGTAATGCCGCAGTTTTGGGTATTTTTAAATATAAATTATTTGTAAAACAGACACTGAGTTTTTTATGTTATAGCCCTGCTTGTTTTTAATGTTTTTATGAAATATCTGTATTGACTGCATGATCATATGACTGTATTATTTACTGCCATGTGAGCCACAAATTAAAGCCGCGCAATGGGTAACACTGCTATACAACAATAACAACATGTGAGCCGTATTTAGTGCTCTTGTTGAGTGTGTGTAAAAAGAGACAGAAAGCTCAGTGTTGTTTTGAATTGATGTGCCAGGTTGCAAAGGTCAAGTAAAACAGGGCAGAAAATGTGTCCTTTTAAGAGAGAAGCTCAGATTGGGGGATTTAAACTTTGACATCTGGCAACTCCAAGCATGAAAACTTGTGGAGGCCTAAATGTTCCCTTTCAGTTGGTCACTCTCGACGTCACGTCGGTGATGACCGACGAATTGGGATCTCGCCAGAGAGACCAATCCACTTCGAGTGTAACATAAACGAGCCAATGGACATTGGCATGCGGATTTCGCATCTGGCAGCAGGCAGCAGGTGCACCGCATTAATTCATCTTTTCGCTTCGGAGCCGAGCGGTGGTGCAGCACTACTGCTCTTCCCTTCTTCGAGTGATTGCAGGAACGAGTGCGGGCGTTACGGCACAGCAGCGGTGGTCGCAATCTCACAGGAGAAAATAAAAAGGTCTTTGTGCAGACAGCCACACCAGGAGTGTGCAGTGGCCAACTCCCCTGCGTGCTTCAGCACTAAGAGAGCAATCTCTAAAAGAGCAACGCAGGTGATCGCGTTTTTTTAAAAATGTCTTATCACCCGTGCGTTTCTGGATGTGGTCGTTTCCTGGCGCCTCAGGACGGTCACGATCGCTGCCTCATGTGTCTGGGCATTAAGCACACTGAGGAGTTGCATAAAAGACTCCGCTATGTCAAACATGGTTGAGTCCCTCTGCCTCTGCCGCGATCTCCGGGCGGCGCTGTGTCCGGGGGAGTCAGAGGTGATTTGAGGATCACTGTGAGGGCTTCCCCAGAGGGAGTTCCTCACCCCTCAAGCACTCCGCAGCTGGTGGAATTGCCGACGGAGCAGTCTGGGCCCTCTGCAGGACAGAGTGCACCACCTGTATCTGTCGGAGCCCCATCTGATGACCAGATGTTGATCGCTGCATTGGAGTGCGAGCTCTCTCTCTCCGGGGATGACGACCCGACTGCATTGCCCCCTTCGGGTGTGGTAGCGTTGTCTGAGACAGACCCAGAGATGACGGCTATGCTTTCCCGGGCCGCTGAGAATGTCGGGCTCCTGTGGAATCCTCCTCTGCGTCCCGATCCTTCGAGGCTGGACGAATGGTTTCTCGGTGGGGGTTGCGCGGGTTCTCAGTGTCCCCCTCCGGTGCCGTTCTTCCCGGAAATTCATGAGGAGCTCACAAGATCGTGGAAGGCACTTTTTACTGCCCGAAACAAATCTTTTGGCTCCTCCTCCCTCGCCACCCTCGATGGTGGGGCCGCTTTGAGATACACGGACATCCCCTCGATGGAGCGGTCTGTGGCCATGCAACTGTGTCCAGCAGGCATGTCCAGCAGCCGCTACCACTCTGCGGGGTGACCCGTCGCAGGCCAGTAAATCTTCGTCAGGTTTAACTGGCAGTGCTTACAGAGCTTTTGGGGAGGTGGCTTCTGCAGGTCCACCAGGCCAAAGACCTGCACGAAGGTGGTCACGACCTGGCGGTTCTACATGAACTGTGTGCTGCGACAGACCTCGCACTTCGAGCCACTAAATGTAACCGCACAGTCTCTGGGTTGTGCGATGTCCCCGCTAGTGGTCCAGGAGCACCATCTCTGGCTGAGTCATGAAGGATAATGAGAAGGTACAGTTCCTGAATGCTCCCATGTCACAGACCGGCCTCTTCGACGACGCTGTCGAGAGCTTTGCCCAGCAGTTCTCGGCAGCACAGAAGCAGACTGAGGCGATTAAACACATCATGTGCCTGAGGAAACCTGCTGCTTCCACCCGGCCGCAGCAGCCTTCCACCAGGCAGCGTTGTGGAGCCGGTCGCAGGCAAACCTGGTGGCAAGCGTAAGTGCAAGAGGCCCTGAGACGGGCGACCCGGAGATGGAGGAGACTGCTCGTCGGGAGATGATGACCACACCACTCCCTCCCCCAGTGGAGGGCCGGGTGGAGAATCTTTTTCGTTTTGTTTTTGTACCCAAAACTTCTACAAAAGATCGGTTTCCTCAGTCTCTGGGTCTCAAGAGGAGGATAGTGGTGAACCGTGCATCACAGGATCACTTCCCTCCTCCTCTCTCACCAGCGGTCAACAGTGGGTTGCCCAAGAGCACCCCTCCTGCCCATTCGTGGAACCAGGTAAGGGCTGTAGCACTCGAGTCTCCGCTTCATGTCATCACACGCCGGGCTGTCGGCAAGCCGGGCTCACATTAAGCATTACTGCAATGTGAGTGACCACAGATTGCTATGTGCTGTTTTATATGAAACCAAAATAATAAACTGGCATGGAAAAAAAAACTGGTGTAGCAGTCATCAAGGTTATGTAAAACATGAGGTACGTTCTTGTACGTTGCATGAATAGAGTCTGTATATTTAGTAATTGAAATAATTTTTATTCATTTTATTCATTTTTGTTTTTTCAGATGAATCGGCCCATTCAAGTGAAGCCTGCAGACAGTGAGGGGAGAGGAGGTAAATCATCTGTTATTTGCATCTTTATTTGGGTTATTTTAAAGATTTTGACTCTGCTCACTAGGGCTGCATTCAGTTGATCAAAAATATAGTAAAAAACAGTAAAATTGTGAAATATTATTACAATTTAAATTAACTGATAAAAAATGCTAAAAAAAATCTATCATTGTTCCTGTGACAAAAAATAACAATCCATCTTGCCTAAATGACCTGTGGCACTCACATCACTAATTATGAAGGTCTTTGAGAGGCTTATCAAGAACACCATCTGATCCTCTATCCCTAACAACATTGACCCACTCCAGTTCGCCCAGTATCGCCCTAATGCTGTCTCCCATCTTCTGCACGCCACTCTCACCCACACCGACAGCAATAAAGGGAATTATGTGAGGCTGCTGTTTATAGATTATAGCTAAGCCTTCAACACTATAGTCCCTCACAATCTGGTCTCCAAGCTCCGAAACCTCGGACTGAATGCCCCACTCTGTGATTGGGTTCTTGATTTTCTATCATACAGACCTCAGGTAGTGAGGGTGGGTCAGACCACCTCCAACATCATCACCCTGAGTACAGGAGCCCCACAAGGATGTGTTTTGAGCCCGCTGCTATACTCCCTCTCACACCTCCACTTCTATCATCAAGTTTGCGGATGATACAGTGGTGATGGGCCTCATCTCCAGCAACAATGCTGCCTACCTTGATGAGGTAGAAAGACTGACATCATTAACGGGACTCCAGTGGAGAGAGTGAGCAGCTTCAAATACCTTGGGGTACACATCTCCGAGGACCTGACCTGGACTAATCACATTCAAGCTCAAGTTAAAAAAGCCAGACAACGACTGTACCACCTGAGACTCCTGAGAAAATTCAAGGTTTCCCCTGAAATCCTGAAAACTTTCTCTATTGGGGCTATAGAAAGTATATGGACTTTTCATCGATGTATGGAAACAGCTCAGCCCAGGATCGTAAAGCCCTGTGCTCAGCTGAGTGTATCTCCAGAACTGATCTCCCCTCTCTGCAAGACATCCACACCAGGAGATGTAAAGCTAGGGCTGTTAAGATCCTCAAAGACTCCACCCACCCTGGAAATCCACTGTTTCATCTGCTACAGTCAGGCAGGCTAATACATCCTTGTTCTGTCAGCATTACAAAAATTTTTTTTATGGAACTAAATTAGGCACTACTGAAAAAATATTTTAATGAGACATTTCAACTATTACAAGTAACACACTTAACTAATATAGACAGAACTAATATAAGCTGTGTACACATTAAACAGAAAGAAATGCATATAGTAAAAAACAGAAAATACATGGAACTACAAAGGTCACAGTAAAAGTGTTCTGAGTGAAAAAAGTGCTAAAACGGAGCTTCACAAATCACAATGAGGTTTTGGTAAGACTGTCAGCTTTTAAAGGAACAAAGCATTCAATAAGTTAACATGAAAAAGGCTATTGCTGTGAGTTTTCAAATGTGAAAGAGAAATAGATATTTTTGGTCTGAAAGCTTCCCTTCCATTTTTTTTCTCTCTCTAAAATGAAAAGGAAGCACAATGAACTATAAAGCCAAAATAAAAGACTAAAAGATGTAAGCATCAACTATGTAGCATATTCATTTCATTGCATTTCATATTAGGGGATGGAAATACACTATAAACCTATTATATCAAGGGGCTGTTTATTGCTTGATTCTGATCCTTTGACAAACTTTGTAAGGAGTGCAATTATTATTTTCCAGTAAGCACACAGCTATGAAGTAGTTCTAGGTCTGTCATTACAGTTTCAGTTCACTTCACCAAATAATTTATTTTAAAGTCCTTACAACCACAAATATAACAAAACAATTTCCATGCGTTTCCTATGAAATTACACGTCCCTCACACACACACTGAAACACATACGGAAACCGTCGCCAATTGACCTATCGGTAAGCCCCTCCCCTCGAACGCAGATGAGCCAATGGCAGTCGAGTATCAGTTGCACAGGGAGCGGAACCCGGACACCTGTAGGTTTCAGCGCCGTAGAGAAACATGGGAAGATACGAAGCTCAAATCGTTTTTATGGGGTTAATGCTTCAAAACTGGAAAAACGATGTGCCTGGGGTACTTGTAACACTGATTCCAGCTATCCTGAGAGGATAGGCAATGAAATTAATTTGATTCTATTTCCTAAACCCAAACAAAACGGAGCAAAATGTCCCAAAGCATTCACACCTAATCACAATGAAGACCAAAACGTTTGTTTTCTTGTTGTCATACTCTGCTCAAGCAGAACGTTAATGTCATCTTTCTAATATAAGCTGTATATTATTAGAGATACCCCAAGGTATCTCTGGCTAAAACTAGCTAACGTTAAAGTTAGTGAGTACATACAAACCTAAATAGCGGACTGTTCTCACGTCTTGTACAGTGTAGGGCAAAAACACATAAACGAAGGTCTCACTGTCTTTTCATATTCAACTGATTAAATGTAAATTAATTTAATCGTAAAGACATCCACACCAGGAGATGTAAAGCTAGGGCTGTTAAGATCCTCAAAGACTCCACCCACCCTGGAAATCCACTGTTTCATCTGCTACAGTCAGGCAGGCTAATACATCCTTGTTCTGTCAGCATTACAAAAATTTTTTTTATGGAACTAAATTAGGCACTACTGAAAAAATATTTTAATGAGACATTTCAACTATTACAAGTAACACACTTAACTAATATAGACAGAACTAATATAAGCTGTGTACACATTAAACAGAAAGAAATGCATATAGTAAAAAACAGAAAATACATGGAACTACAAAGGTCACAGTAAAAGTGTTCTGAGTGAAAAAAGTGCTAAAACGGAGCTTCACAAATCACAATGAGGTTTTGGTAAGACTGTCAGCTTTTAAAGGAACAAAGCATTCAATAAGTTAACATGAAAAAGGCTATTGCTGTGAGTTTTCAAATGTGAAAGAGAAATAGATATTTTTGGTCTGAAAGCTTCCCTTCCATTTTTTTTCTCTCTCTAAAATGAAAAGGAAGCACAATGAACTATAAAGCCAAAATAAAAGACTAAAAGATGTAAGCATCAACTATGTAGCATATTCATTTCATTGCATTTCATATTAGGGGATGGAAATACACTATAAACCTATTATATCAAGGGGCTGTTTATTGCTTGATTCTGATCCTTTGACAAACTTTGTAAGGAGTGCAATTATTATTTTCCAGTAAGCACACAGCTATGAAGTAGTTCTAGGTCTGTCATTACAGTTTCAGTTCACTTCACCAAATAATTTATTTTAAAGTCCTTACAACCACAAATATAACAAAACAATTTCCATGCGTTTCCTATGAAATTACACGTCCCTCACACACACACTGAAACACATACGGAAACCGTCGCCAATTGACCTATCGGTAAGCCCCTCCCCTCGAACGCAGATGAGCCAATGGCAGTCGAGTATCAGTTGCACAGGGAGCGGAACCCGGACACCTGTAGGTTTCAGCGCCGTAGAGAAACATGGGAAGATACGAAGCTCAAATCGTTTTTATGGGGTTAATGCTTCAAAACTGGAAAAACGATGTGCCTGGGGTACTTGTAACACTGATTCCAGCTATCCTGAGAGGATAGGCAATGAAATTAATTTGATTCTATTTCCTAAACCCAAACAAAACGGAGCAAAATGTCCCAAAGCATTCACACCTAATCACAATGAAGACCAAAACGTTTGTTTTCTTGTTGTCATACTCTGCTCAAGCAGAACGTTAATGTCATCTTTCTAATATAAGCTGTATATTATTAGAGATACCCCAAGGTATCTCTGGCTAAAACTAGCTAACGTTAAAGTTAGTGAGTACATACAAACCTAAATAGCGGACTGTTCTCACGTCTTGTACAGTGTAGGGCAAAAACACATAAACGAAGGTCTCACTGTCTTTTCATATTCAACTGATTAAATGTAAATTAATTTAATCGTACTGTAAGGGAAACAGGTCAATTTAGCTCAAAGGGAATCATTTAAGATTTTAAAGGGAACTCCACCATTAATATGTAAGGGAATTAGGACAGAATCACTGTTTTACGGCTGATCACTGAGACGGCCTGCGAGTCAGTGAACGAGCCGTATGACAGCAATTCTGCAATGGATATCTATATCCAAAATATAGTGAAAACACTATTAATTAGCACATGTAACAAGATCGGCAGTTTAAGACATTAACTTGTGAGCACAAAACACAAGATACTTCTCTTTTCAATATAAATAAGGCTTTATTGGATAAATCTAAGACATACAAGTTGCAGAAAGAGAGAAAGTGAGGAAATAATTAGTTTAAGAGAATGAAAATGTGAAATCCCAAGTTTACAGCAATATGTGCAATTGCATAGATCTGAACAACCATCAATCACTTAATTAACCCTTGCATTGAGTTTGCTCAATGAGGTTCAAATTTATATTAAACGCACCAGTTCAGTAGAATCTGGGGTACTTGCTTTCCAGTGTGGGGTTCCCTTCCTTGTCTGGGTGCCGAAATGGGTTTCCCGAGGTTGCTGATTGGCTGGAGTTTCAGTCTTGGG